GTGCCACCTTGAGCTATGACAGGTGTAGTTTGCATTGTTCTCGAACTTGATTAGCTTGCAAGCCATATGTTGCTTTTAGCTTTTAATCCGGATCACTGCATTAGTTCCTCGAATTCTACTGACGTAAATCTCCGATTCAACATGCAGTTCGCTGAAGATGGACCCGTAAATGTTTGAACGAACACTCGGCATGCAAAACATGAACATTCGGCTTGTCTTTGGTTTAAAAGGTAAACCATGTTTTACAAGTATTCTTTTATGTGATTTTCACTTGCAGAAAGTTAATACAGATTTTGAGTGTAGAGAACAATTGTCTCCAAGGGTGTGAAGGCTTTTGTGTTATGTTATTTGGATTTAGAGATGAATGTTGTATTCGACACAAATATGTGTAATTTTTAAAATTATTCATAGTTGGGTCTTTCTATTCTACTTTTCGTCCTGTTTCGCTATAAATGTATAATCTTAAAAACTCTTACAACTTTTATGGATGTCGGATACATCCATCCCTTCAGTCTGTTGATATATCCAACATCCATGAAAGTGATGTGAGTTTTCAAGATTACACATTCATAGTAACGCGAAAACTTAATTTGACTTATTAGATTTAGGAATAATTGTTTAGATTAAGATTAAATTTTTTAAAATATAAAGTTTAAGAATGAGAAAATTAGAGCGGGACTAAGTCCATAACTAATTTAAAGTATAGGGATTGTTAGATGATTTTGACCTTTTATGTTTAGCCAATTATACAAAATATTCCATTTTTAAAGAGTGATGCTGATGTATTTACATGCATTTAAAAAATTGAAAATATTAAAAATAACTATAAATTATTGAATAGAGTCGAGGTAAGACTAAGGGGGTGTTTGGTTCAAGGATTGTGGGATTCTCATGGGATTGGAATCCCACATTCCCATGTTTGGTTAGCCGGGAATCTCATTCCCGGTAATATTTTATTACCAATAGTAGATTTTTTGGGGTATATTACCGGGAATGTCATTATCTCCATTCCCTTAGGTATTGTAACATTACCGGCATTTTGGATTAAAATGCCCTTAAATTTTTATTTTTTTTTCAAAAATATCATTCTTCTGTCATTGAATAATAAAAATTCTACGAAGGTTAAATTACAAATTTATCCTTAAATTATTTTAGATTTACAAAAAAAAATCTATAATTAAAATTTTATATGAAGTTCAGAGGTTAAAATTTTTTTACCCTTTCATTAAACATTTTTTATATTTTTAATTTTGTAAAAAAAATTATATAAATATTATGAATTTAATTTTTTAAAGAAAATATATAAATATTTTACAATTTGTAATATTATACAAATATATAATAAGGACAATTTGGTCAAATATACATTCTAAAAATCTTTTATTCCTTTAACCAAACACGGTAATCTTACATTCCTGCTAAACCAACCAAACACAAAATATAACATTCACAGTAATCTTATTCCCTGGTAATCTTTTATTCCCACTGGTAATCTTACATTCCGTGAACCAAACGCACCCTAAAGGGGATGTATCCAACATTTATGAAAACAAATTAAAATTACACATTTATAGTGAAATAGGACAAATAATAAAGTATAACTATGAGGAGTAGTTTGGTTCACATAATGTAATTAAACTTTAAATATTATAATAATATAATATTACTTAATATAATATTGAGTATGTTGGATTATCGTGTTTGGTTAGAGGAATATAATATAAGAAAAATATATATAGTTCTGTTAGTTTTTTAAGGATGGATACCAAATTGAATCCTAAACTAAACGTTAGATATAATTTTAAAAAATAAAATTTCTTTTAGGATAAATTATATAAATGATGACTAAAGTTTGAATAAGTTTCTTTTCCCCCACTTATGTTTCATATTCTAGTTCGACTTTGAACTAAGCTCAAGTTCGAGCTTTAATTTTTTTATTTATTTTGAGTTCAAGTCGAGTTTGACAATTTTAAATTCCCGAATTTTCGAGTAAAATTGAGTTTGATAGTTTCGAGTTTAAATTTGAACTTTTTGAATTGAACGTTCTGAATCGAATTAGATTCAACAATACTTAAATTCTACTCGATTCGCTTACAACCTAGTGTGTTTTGTCTCCTTAAGGGACTGGCTTTTGTGAGACCATTACTAAATCACCAGTTCCAGTGATGATTATAAGATAATATTTGTTTAAAATCTTTTATAATTATCGAAAATTTACACATTCTATAATATAAATATTCGAACTTAAAACCTCTAGAGAAAATAACGAAAATTTTAACATTAATGAATTAGAAGTATTTAAAAGAGGATTGAGCATTGAAGTAATTAGTATCCGAAGAAGAAATATTTAGTCATATTCTAATGACAGTAGCATCGAAAATAGACGAATGATCCCTGACGGATCTACATGTTGGCTAAGGTAGGCACTGAAATATAATTATTTTTATATTTATTATTTATTTTATTAAATATGTCGTTCATGAAATTTTGTATTCATCTATATATAAAAAAATTAGATAAAAAAGTGTAATTTTTTTTGTAATTTTTTAAAAAAATTAATGTGGTCCCATATATTTTTTTTCAATGTGATCATTCAATTAGAAAATAAATCTAATTTGCTTTTTTCACTAAAGTTTTTCGTCGTTGGTCGTTATAGTATTTGTGTGTTAGTTCATGGTGCTTACATGTCTGTCCAGGGTGCTCACGTGACAATCCAGCTGTCATGTTTGAGTTATAAATTTAGCCCATTTGTCATGTTAATTTATCACCTTGGACTTTCATATCAGTACCATGGACTGTCATGTCAACACTGTCAACTGTCGCATCAGTATCGTAACGATCAACTACGAACAAACATTGGTCAAAAGATCACGTTAAATTTATTTTTTAAGTTAGAGGACCACGTTAGGAAAAAATAATACAAGGACTACATTAATTTTTTTTTTCAAAAGTACGTAGACATCTATACCTTTTTACCAATATTTTATATCACTAATATATGTGTCTACTCATATACATGTAAAAAGAATTGATATAAATAAAAGATACAAGTTAGTAAATCAATTTTTTTAACGGAATATATTTAATTAAATTGGATTGATTTCGATTGATCTGCTCTATGGATATTGTTGACCCGTAGGTGATGATAAATAACTTTTTTGGCGGCTGAGTGGTGGCAGTATTGTGGACCACCATGTCAGCATCGTGAATTGACACAACAGTACTGTAATGGTCAACGACGAAAAACGTTGATCAAAAGATCACATTATGTTTATTTTATGAGTTGGAGGGTCACATTGAACAAAACAAAAAAATAATACGAGAATCATATTGTTTTCCGAGTAAAGGGCTTGCATTGGTTACAATGAATGATGGGGATGTTGAGACTGGTGTCAAGCCTCCTTCGAGACGTGTATCGATGAAATTGGTTCGATGTCCGACAACGACGGAAATCGAGAAGCGGACGAAGAGGAAACAAAGGATGAAGAAGAATTATGATGGCTGTGGATGCCAAGGTATATGGAGGCTGCAGATTATGAAATATTTGCAATTGCAGCTGCCATGGAAGGACTAATGTAAAACAATGGCCAAACCAATAGGGATATGGACTATTATTTTTCTCTTTACTTTATATTTTATTGTTAAGAGATTGATATTGAGCGAAAGGAGTTTTGTGTATGTTATATAATAAATGGTTAGTATATGTTTGTGAGAGAATTATTAGAGAAAAGTAATCTTTCAGGTCTATGTTTGAGAGATGAATTTTTTAAGGATGTTGGAAGAATTGTATGTAGTATACATTATGTTTATGAAATATATCGAGTTTTTAGTATGTAAAGAATTTCATGTATTTGAATTTTTTGTTATCTCTATATTTTAATAAATTTTTTCTATGATAAGATTGAACTACGTTAAATATCGACTCAGTATTTTAGTCAACCTTCAAGGGTTGACCAAGGTAGAGAAATATAGATTAAGCTGTTTTGTGTTGTTAGTTAAGGGTTGGCCTTGATATAGAGAATTTGGAACTCAATTAGTGGCCTAAGGGCGATTTTGGGTAAGGGAGGAAAGAGAGAGGACCAAAGGAGAAATTTTACCTTTGAAGGAAACTAATTAGATTTTTTACCCGGCTTATAGCCTTATTTTAGACATGGGTTTGGTTAGATAGGGGTCAAGTTACCTCATTTGCTTATCTTTTGTCTACTTAACCATTCCTCTTTTCCTCTTACTTTCTTCATCATCTTTGATTCTTGGTGTTGCTGGAACTCATTTTTAAGGTAAACATCTTCTTCTTCATGCCATAAACTTCATTTAGAGATACTAATCTCCGTAGAAAAGGTTGAAGGTTGAGTTAGAGTTTTATCATTAAACGCTCACACCTTAGTATTCTTGATGTCCGAACGCGAAATCTTAAGGAATAACAATAATTCTTTTTCTGCTGAGGTCGCTTAGTTCATGCTCGTGTGATAATTTTGACATTAAAAATTGTTCTAAATGGTGTTAAATAATGCATTGAAAACATCATAGGCCTTAGGGATTGATTTGGGGTCAAATGGGTTCAATTGACACTATTTTTGCACTTTGATATAAATATGTTCTTGCAATATCAATGCCCTTTAAATATTACGAATAAATCTAAACATTCTAAGCTTAAGGTGTTAATATTTGTTCATGTGATATCCATAATCCATGTTGTTCATATGATATTCATATCAGTGGTTAGGTATCGAGTAAATTTTTTGTATAGGTGCCATTAAATGTGATCTTTAATAACGCCGTTAAATGTGTAGAAACATGATTATTCTACTTTCTATTTATTTAAAATGTGTCCTTCAAAATTATACCGAATCTAGTTCAAAGCACAACTCTTCAACCTCCATAACTGTAAAACTCTCATTTGGCAAATGATAAAAGTGCAAATTATACTAGCTAGTCATATTTACAGTGAAAAATATGATGGAAAATTTATTGACATTTAAAAGCTAAACCAGGGTTTTAAATAGCGGTCCACGACCACGATAGCGCCCTCGAAATAACGGTACCATTGCCTTCTGATATACCCGCTAGACTCGCAATAGTGTCCACTATGACCGCAATAGCGATAAACGGGACATTACCGAAAACGCGACTGCGACTTGAATCGCTAGCTAAACTTAAAGTATTTGTTCTCAAAACACGAGTTCTCAAGAAATTTCAAGAAAAAAAATGCTCAAAAGCATAAAGTAGAAGACGGTAGACACGAGTCGAGGATTTGATCATCATGAAAATCTATGAAAAAATATGAACATAACCGTATCCGGTGCTCACATCCGAAAACCCGAACCCGTTAATAGCTTGCCTTAACTCTCAACGTCAGATAAATCAATATCAATGTCCCCAAACTTGACCTGAACCAAAAAGAAAGAAAGCAATGTCATTGATTGAAAGGGACTATTCTGATTACTTTTAGTACTAGGAAACCTTAAGGCAGAACTTGAATAATATCTGCTGTCACTGCCCAAAAGCCATCAGCAATTGCAAGCAAACCTAATTTCACTGTTCCGGTTAGGTTAGGAGTAAGGGTGTAACCGAGTTGAGCAGAGTACATGCTGTAAGAAATTTGAGCTCAATTCAAAATTCAAGACACGAAAATCGAATTGCTCAAACTTGATCAATTAGGTTCGATGAAGCTCGTTTAACTAGTGAAAATGAACTCCATTCTCATGCTCGGCTTCAAACTCAATTACTTATAATTGAGTAGTAGGGTTTGTGTTCGATCACCCTAACACCCCAAACCTACAAGTTCTAAGCAAAATCGTTCCTTCATAGTGGTCAACTAGCTCTTAAATATTTTCATTTTTGGGTCTCTATGGTTCCAGTTAGTCTTTAGTAACATATTTTCACTGGTCAATCACGGTAGAACCATGGAGTTTGTTACTAAATTGGGTTATTTCCAAAGATGCTTATATTGAACAAAATGTTACTAAATGGAACCACTTATGAAAAATATGTAGTTCAAAAACAAACTGTTTGTTTGCTAAGAATTCAAGTGCTTACAGGATTGAGAATAGGAGGACTATTTTCCTTGAATCAAATGATGCAGCTCGTCTATATCTTTTCCATCTGTTCATTGGTGCATCTTGAGCCCTCTCGGCCGATGATTTTTCTATTCAAATCAAGCTTGGTGTTTATGTTCCAAAGGTGGTACCAAAGGAATGAAGAATAAAACATGCAAGATGCATAACCAAAAGACCTGGACAGATCCTACTTGTGAAACTAAAAAATACTGCAGACAAAAGGTAGCATACGATTTCAAATTCAAAAACACTCGTGTAGCTAAAAAAGTTCACTGATCCGGAGAAATGACTAAATAAAGTTCGATCTTTGAATTCTTCAAAACCCTTTGAAGTAATAGTTAAACAAATGGAATCCTCACTAGGGCCAATTCCCTATAGGGATCTGGCTCATAAATCCACTACAAGAAGATTCACATGTTTTCGACTCTAATAGCAATCATTGTGAATCACCATGGGAACCTCTTTTTTCTGCTAGTTGCTGTAATTCTCATTTAAAAATGGAAGTTTAATTGACAAACCACCACATTAAATGATGGTTATGAAACATTTGAAACCTGAACTATAACAGCTTGGTTTACATAATATTCCGTACTTTCGGATGGTTTCTTGTTTAAAGAAACCAGAAAATCTTATGCAAAATAAAGCAATCACCGACCAGATCAAGGAAATGGAAAATTATTCCATTGGTTATAAGGAAGATGGGGACACTATTGTTCCAAATAGGTATTAGAAAATGTTTACAGGCCTCCAAATAGGTATCGTTCCAAAGCTGTATGAATTCTCACCTATATTTATGCTTGACTGTCTCTGCAGCACCTTCTGCAAATGCTGTTTCATTGAGACCTAACATTAGTATTAAGAGTGAAAAAGAAAAAGAAGTACCAACACCCAAGGAAAACCATCAGGGCTTTGATGACTAAATAATTGAATTTTGTATATTCCATACTAAGTGTATGATCTGTACTTGACTGAATATGCCCTCTAAAAAGGAGAAATTTGCTTAAAACTCATGATATAAAGATAGGAATATCAAACTTACCTTTAGTACACCTTCACTTTTTGAATTTCCAACAATTTCATCAGTGGATGTAAGTATGTCAGGTATCTCCTTCTCGATGTTTATGTCCAGAACGCAAGATGAATAAGCATCTTCACTATCGACTTTCAAATCGATGCAGTTGTGACAACTCAATTGAGCATCCACACGAATCTGGTTTTTAGACGAAAACGGAACTTCTACAAGGCTCAGAAAAGTTAACTGTGGTGTACATTTTGGATTCTTGTTTCCTTCCTCCGGCATCACAGAAATGCTATAGACATCTTGGCCCTGCACAAAGAGATTGAAAATAAATAGAAGCATAGAAACGATGAAAAAGCAAGTCAATTGGTTGCTGAAGTTTTGTTTTAAGATAATTTTTTCAGTAAGAGAAAACAGAAATTAGAACTAGCTTTTAAACAGAGATCAATAGGACCAAAAATACTGTTTAGAAAATATATAATGTGGAGTGTTTAAGCTGCAATTTTCTCTCATTTGGAATGAATTTGAAGTACTCAACACATGGTCTGACATGAACTTACATGTGCAGTGTTTAACCTGCATTTTTCTCTCATTGGAAATGAAGTCTCCTCTATTACAATAGGCAAGACATCTGAAATTTCAAGAAAAGAAATTCATTGCACATGCTTAATACCAGACTGAGTTCAGGCAATTAACATCATATTGATCACGAATATCCTTACCGAGAGAACAATGGCGGCTGGTCTCATCGAAGCTTGGCTTAATCAACTCAAAACATGAAATGTTAACGGGCACATTGGTGCTTCCAACCATCCCTGATAAGATCTGTTTCCCCTGGAAGTAACTTCGCGTTAAAATTAAAGCGTTTGCAAAACTTCAATAATGATGACATAACAAATTAGAAAATCACTTTTAATTTCATTCAAAGTCAAGGCAGATTTTCTCTATTCATCTTCAGAATCACGGTGATGGAAGATTACCATCAGAACGTTAAAGGAAATCCATATACAATTTGCCAATCTTCAGAGATAAAGAATTTCTATTGCATCAATTGAAGAAAATAAATCAAAATAATTAGAATCGTAAATAGGAATTCGGCAATGGAAAAAAATATCTAGGTTTCCATTTCCATAGAAAAAATAACTCAAAAAAATAAAGCAACGCAAAAAAGGAGAATGCGAGAATGGAAGGCAAACAATCTTCCTTTTCATACATTTTCGCAGCCACCAAACAAGAATTCATGTTTCACAAATGGATAAAGCAATGGAAGAAAAACTAGATCATACATCCATGAAATTTCAACCAACCATATGCAGTAACAAGCGAATTCCTAAGAAACGGGAAACAGATCATCAGTATAAAACACCTCCATTATTATTATTTTCTCACATTTATCGAAGCTAAGCATCTAGCAAGGATTATTTCTGCTCAAGAAGAAGCAACGTAACTTTCTTTATATTTAACCCAAAAGCAGCTTCAGTTTCGAAAAAGAAACAGAAGAGAATCTAAAAGAGCCACGTAATCCAAAAAGAATAACTCACCTCCTCCATCGATTTAGCGGCCATTGCAGAAAAAGGAAATGAGCAACAAAATACTCTTATTGACAGAAAATTTCAAGAAAAGCATATGATTTATTGATTGATCTTGAATGCAACTCGAAGTTTATAAATCTAAATATTTACAGAGCATAAAGGAGAGGAAAAAAGAAAAAGTAAAAGATGCTCCATGGCTGGGAAGACAAGGTGGCGCTATTGCGCAGAAAAAGGCTCCTCGTTACTACTTCCCGACACCTACAAATCTGCATCTTATTCCTATATTTTAATAAAATTATCCATTATAAATGAGGGTAAACTATGAATTTAGTACATAAAATTTTAAAAATTTTCAAAATAATACCTAATATTTAGTTTTCATTTCATTTTAGTATTGCCGTTAAAAACTTAATGCGTTTGGCACATAAACTATCATCTTTTATCTGTTTTAATGTCTAAACTATCATTTTTGGTCAATTTTAGTACCTAAACTTTCAACTTTTCAAAATTTAACGTTAAATTATGAATGTGATACTAAAATGAAACAAACATAAAGTTTTAAACGGCGATGTATTAAAATGAAATAAAAACTAAATTTTATATATGATTTTAAAAAAAATTTAAAGTTTAAATACTAGAACGGACTATAATTAATAGTTTAATTACTAAACACATAATTTACCTATAAAAGCCACATCAACCCGACACAAAAATATGTTAATACCTTTTATCTTTAATAATCAAGATATTAATATATAAATTAAAATGAGATTATCATCTCAATATAAGTTTTCTATAATGTCAAATTTTTTTTTTCTAAAATGAACCACTGATGGTCAAAATATTACAGGAAAAAATCACTATGTACGTCAGTACGTGCATGAAAACCCTTACTTATTGTATTATTATTTTTATATATAATTTAGAGAAAATAATCTCAGTGACCAAAAATCCCATATAATATACGATTTTGACCAATTTTTTTTGGATTTGCGAAAATGACCAACAAAATCGCAATGCGATTTCTAATTCGCAACGCGATCTCCAGTATCGCAAATTCGTGCTGCATTTCGCGTTGCGATAGTTGAAAATCGCGTTGCGATTTTCCATTTCGCGTTGCGGTTTTCCATTTCGCGTTGCGATAGTCTACAGTGTTGTTGCGATTTTCCATTTCGCGTTACGATAGTCTACAGTGTCGTTGCGATTTTCCATTTCGCGTTGCGATAGTCTACAGTGTCGTTGCGATTTTCCATTTCACGTTGCGATAGTTTTAAAATTGGTATTGCATTTGTTTCTTAAGAATTTTCTCTAAAAAGATAGTATCCGCGCGGACGTGTCGAAGACACTTATTACCACGACCACAACCACACACGACCCGACCCGAGACGAGACGGCGGCGGCGCGCGAGAGTCCCCTTGTTCTCTTTCACTCAACAAGGAAGCGCAAAATCCAAACCTTAAATATCATTCTCAATAGTGTTTCCAAAACTATGTGGGATTGAGCATTACCAACACTTAGATAATAGAGTATATTTATACAATGTTCAGCTCATTAATATGGTGAATCCTATAGTAGTTTCAGCTTTTTATACATTCAAAGATAAGCCAAATTCTATATATTTAGTCTTTGCATTTTATTCGACTTAAATAATTACGTGTTGATATATAAAAAGATAGCGAGATCGAGATAATTTGTTTAATGAATTATGTTGTACAATGATTAGACTTAAGAGTGGAGAGAGGATGGTGAGGTGCTTGAAGGAGAGGTAGTGATTAGTAATTGAGTGAGACTAATGATCCTGAATGTTATGCTTGATGATCTTTCAAAATATTTAAAGAGACTCTATTATCTATGAATTGATAAAATAATTTATGAGTTGAACATTGTATAAATATCTCTTCCTCATAGATTTTCTTATGTGATATTGTTTGATATGATACTGTAAGATCCGTGATATTACTATTGGGAATGCTCAATCCCACATAGTTTTGGAAACAATATTGGGAATGATATTTAAGGTTTGGATTTTGCACTTCTTTTTTGAGTGAAAGAGAACAAGGGGGACTCTCGCGCGCCGCCGTCTCGTCTCGGGTCGGGTCGTGATCGTGGTCGTGGTCGTGGTCATACGTGTCTTCGACACGTCCGCGCGGATACTATCTTTTTAGAGAAAATTCTTAAGAAACAAATGCAATACCAATCACAACGACACTGTAGACTATCGCAACGCGAAATGGAAAATTGCAACGACACTGTAGACTATCGCAACGCGAAATGGAAAATCTCTACAACACTGTAGACTATCGCAACGCGAATTTGCAATATTAGAGATCGCGTTGCGAATTAGAAATCGCATTGCGATTTTATTGGTCATTTTGGCAAATCCAAAAAAAATAGTCAAAATCGTATATTATATGAGATTTTTGGTCACTGAGGTTATTTTCTCTTAAATTTATCGGCTCAACGCATCTTTTTTAATAAAAAAAAAGGCATGGATTTATATTGCAACAACCAAGCAAATTGCAAATGGTACATTGTTGTTTGGATCCATATTTCATAACTCGACGGTCGACATTAGGGTATGGAGCAATAAATTGAATTATAATAAATAAAAAAATAAACATAAAAAATTGAGAATTTTGGAGATATAAGATTTTGGTGCGTTGTGAAGGACAATATGAGAAACCAAATAATCCTATGTGGAGAATATAAATATTTTATTCAAATTAAAAATATATGATTTTTATAAAAGATTGAGGTTTGAACAGATATGTAGCTATTAATTATTGAAAAATATTTTAAATAAATATTATCATATAATCAAATAAATATATTTGTCCTTTCAAAATAAATAAATAAATAAATAATATTTTTGAGTAAAATATGAAAATAGTATTTCTATTTAATTTATTGTTTTAAATCCCTCAACTATAAAATAATTATTCGACTTCAAAAAAACATGTATGCATTATCGTATACTAATTTTTTTTGAACATATAATATGAATAATTTTTTCCCTTGTAGGCTAGAATCTGATACCCAAATTGGATCTGAAATTGCTTTTTTTTTTTTGGGTAAAAACAAAAGAACAATCAAATTATGAAGTCGGAAGGAATTCCAATTGCATTGCTGAAGTTCAAAGCATTCTCGACCATGAAGAATACTGTTTGTGTCATTCTCGTACCATGTACACTGTTATTCCCCAATTGCAAAATAATAATAAAAATCAAAAGGACGATGTTCTTCCATTCCACCATCCAATGTACATGGCAACAACCTAAACTATGTTACTCGGACTCGAGTGTGATTGTCGGATACAGATATGTACCCGGCACAGATATCTCAAAGTTTTACCATGTATTTAGAAAGTCCTTGATGGATCAAATCCCTATATCCATGTCCAAATATACATCGAACACAATATCAGACTTATATACTTGGTGAAAAACTCGGAGTCCGAGCAACAATATCAGACTTATTATATACTTGGAGAAAAATTCGGAGTCCGAGCAACGTCGGACCTAAGTATAATTTTTTTTCACAACCCACATTACCTCACCTGATATCTGCAAGTTCTTCCCTCAAGAATGGAAAAAAAGAGAGTAATAAACATAAATAATTAAAGAAAAAAAAGGTCTAAGTGATCAGAATACCTAGTCATTGTAACTCATGGTGAAATGAACCCCTCAGCTCTTGTTTTTTGAAGCAAGACGTTCATAAAATAAGATATACCCATGATCAGTATTACTAGAATACTCCTGGGCTGACCCAAAAAATGTCTGAACTGCAGACTCGTCAATCATCTCCACATTCTCGTCATCGAAAAATAACCAATGGTTATGACTTTTCACCAGGCTAACATAGTGCCCGTGGTTAGGTCCACTTCCCACATGAACAACTACAGCAAATAGAGAATACTCCGAATCTGCATCTTCCACGGTGTTGCTCAGCTTCAGCTCAAGTGGAAATACAACACGGTAGGACAGTTTCTTGTACCGGCCGAGCTGCTCAATGTACTTGAACCGCTTCAAATGGATAACAAGGATGTGAGGAGGCTTCTTTATCTTCATTCTCTTCTGTGCTTCTTGCAAACTGCAAGTAGTAAACATCATCCATAGATATTCCTATCTTCATGCTTATCATTAAAATGAGTGCATGATACGCATCTTCGGAATCGTATAATTTTATGATTTAAGCTCAGCATAAAGTAAAACTCTATTTATGAGGGAAAACCAGTTAAATGCAACATGTAAGTGTGATGTTTGAACCATAGAGGAAAAAAGTAAAAGCCGTGAGGTTTGCATGTTTTGCCTGTTCTGCTAAAACCAATATCTCATTGACGTCCATAATCAGAAATGACCACTTTTACTAACAAAACCTCAATTTAACATATTAAAGCTTGGCTGGTAAGTCTGAAAATCTCACACATGACAGGAGTCGAGTGAAATGTTTATTGTCAATGTAAATCTAGAACCATGTGACAAAGAAAACAGGCTGTTACTTGATTACAAATGAAATCACGTCAAGAGCTGAAAGAAAACACATGAAGGAAAATTAAAAGTGATGGAAAAGCACACTTGCAAAGGAAAATTACCTGCAGCACTTGTCACAGAAAAATTTGTCCTCAGCATTCAATGTCTCGGTAGAACTAAAATTTTTCAGACAGCTAGTTATTGAGCTGTTCTGTTCAATGTCAAGGCTCAAGTCGAAGAAAGTTTCATCTCTCGCTGTCACTGTTTCACATCGTAAGCATCTTGTCTCATTGGTAAGTATCCCCTGTCTCAAATCACCCATGAAATAATGAGATTCCACACAGATTGCAAACACAACAAAAACACACAAACAAAGTATCTTATAAACATTGTCAATCAGAGAGACTTTCCCATGACTTTGGTCATGTAACAAGGTTACATGTTTAGATTAATTTTCCTACATAGATGCTTTCTAGGCATAATACATTCAGCTTTCCCATGGTTCCGGTCATGTGAGGTTTCAAGTTTTATGTATTTTATAATTTGTTTTAGATACAACCCGCAGAAAGACAATTAACTTGATTTCATCGTAATTTCAAGTCAAGCAAAGTAAATACAGCACGAGACTAGAATGACTGGTCTGAAGATAGGAAATATAGCTAGAAACGCGCCTGAAAATTCTTGTGTACCCATGTAACAAGAGGCTCTTTTTTAATACCATTTGCCTGAGTATTCTTTGGCCCATTCACAATCTTTTCAGGTGGTGATGAAGTTTCAGCCTCATCTTTTGCATTTTGCGCCTCTTTCTCCAATATGTCTACGAGTTCATTTAGCAGAAAGTTCAAGAACTCATGAGCGTCCTAACAAAAAGAGAAAGTTATTCGGTTCTGCATTTTCAATTAAGACAAGAAAAATGTACATGCAAGAAAAGATACAAGTTTATAAATTGAAACCTTGAACCAAGTGAAACAGATCATCGATTTAGAAAAGTGAATTAAGGTACTTGAGCCAAACACATATGAAGCAATCTAATACCTGGTGCATATAGCTGCGGAAAAGCTCGTTTTGTTTCTTCAATCGCTGTACAAAGCGCTTTGGAGCAATGACACCTGTTTTCTTCTTCTGGGAACTTATCTAAACATAAAAAACAACTAACCGTTGGTCTCAAAAGTAATTAAGTGGAAACTGCATCATAGGTGGCACAAGTACCACAGGAGAGAGAGAATTGGGGAAAGATTTAACAGTCTAATAGCATTTGCTAAAACAGAAAAAGCATCATCTCCCCAGTTACACCTTACATTTTTACTCTGAGACCCAAAAGAAAAAACTAAACAAAATATTTTGCTAGGATCTAAGCAATTTCCTAAAGGAAAAAGTTATCAGTTATTGAAGTATAGAACCAAACACTTTAAAAGCGAAGGGAAAGAAACAGAAGAAGAGAGGCAGTTCTGAGAAAGAAAATTATACACGATGCATAAAATCTAATAGAATTTACAGACGACAATTTATCTAATGTTAAAAAAAAAAACTAAAACGTGCACACATCACATTACTCATTTTATTATGCAAGGTCCTCATGCATATATGCCAAGCATTTGTAGTATGAGCCACTTAATTACAATAATAATCTACATTCATGAATCTAATCACATCTTGTTAAAAGTTACATTGTGAACCATCTTCATCACATTCATGAAGATGATTTATTGGGCTTTCATAGTTCTAACTAAATGCACAAGGGCTCCTATAATGCCTAATACTAAAACAAGAAATTATTAAATCAATCAAATCTGTGGATCATTCCTGGAAATCAAGGTCAAGAGTAGAAATATCCCTTGCAACTTATGACCTTGTTTGGGGTTAAAAGATGAAGCTGATATTTGGTGTGAAGAATGAACTACACCAATTAAGCATAAGAAGCAATCTAACTCTAAAGAAAAAATGATTTTGCATCAAAGATGGAGGCATACAACTCAACAAGACGACAACACCACACTTCTAGCAGTATTACCTGTGTAAACAGATCTGCCAAGCATGTCAGCAGATTATCTTCAGCATCAGCGCCATTTTTATTCCTTGAATAATAATCTAGCAGCTGTTCTCGAAATGGGACACAAAAGTAAAGTGCCTGAAGAAATAAGAGAAAATGAAATAAGACATTAGTCAAAGCTGAGAGTGGACAGTTGGCTAACAAGTTCAAACAAAAACATCCAACCCTAAACATGAACTAATCTAACCAAATAAATTTCAAGTATAGCAAAAAATCTAACTTCACAACGATCATACAATTTAAATGAAGGGAGATCAAAAGTAATACTAAAAATATTAAATATAAGCGTGAAAAATGACATATAAACAACCTTAATAGTGATGATGAACTGGATAATCATTTAATTAATTACTAACAACATCCAACCCCCAGTCCACTTTCCCTTTCTAATCTTAGTTAACTATCATGGCAATATCCAGTCTACAACATCTCAGTAAGCATATTTAAAATATAAGCATTCTAATTTTAGTCTAAATTGGGGCAACCACACCATCTGAATGAAAAGGGGCATTCAATTACCAGAGAAATTCACAGCTTAACGTTAAAAAGATAGAAGCAAATCCAACCAATTCGCTTGAGGATTTTTACCAGATTTACTTGCTTCCTGCTGCTATCAGTGAGTCAGAACGCATTATCATAATAAAAAACTATAAACCTTAAATACTTGCAAAGAAAGCAGTCGGAAACATGTACTTCAATAAATGTGAAAAAATTATAAATAATTTGTTAAAAATGTTCAAAGTTGAAACTTCCAAATCAACCAAATTCAAATCATTGAAATCAACAGAGACAATGAAATTCAATATAGTTTTTCTTTGACAAACAAGACATCGAAATTGAATTGTTAAAGAAAAAATTGAGAAAGAACCTGCAAGACGCTGTTACAATAACAAGTATTGCCAAAGTTTTCAAGGCCAAAATATCGTTCGCCTTCGGGGAACTGATCGCCCAAAGCTTTCTCGAGTTTTGAACCCGCCGCGCCCATTTAATATGACCTCAGATCTTCTTCCAACCGATTCAACTCAGCGAATCTATCTCTCCACTCCGTTCGATTTGACTTCTTGTTAGAGTTTGTTTGAAAGAGGCGAAAAAAATAAATTAAAATGCTTTGTTTTTCTTTTTTCGTTTCGGGAATTGAAAAAAGACATGAAATGAGGGATTATTTTTGTTCCTTTTTGGGAGAGTTTGCCCCTCCAGGTATTATTATTATTATTATATCTTTCCCACTTTCCACTTTTTTTCTGTTTGACCCTTAACGTTTTCTTTCATTACATTTTGACCCTTACAATTATTGGAAATCATATAAAAAGAAAACAAAAAATATTACGAGAGAATGAAGAAGAAAATGAAAAAATATATTTTAATTACAGTAAATCAGATAAAAAGAAAACCAAAAGATGTTTATGGAAATCTTAGCATGGGTTTTCAGAGGGAGAGGCAAGAGAGAGAGAAATAAGAAACGATAAATTACATTGGAGGTTACTTTTATTTGAGTTCTATTTTACTTTTACAATCAAAGTTTCAAAATTTATAAAGAAAACATGTATCAACATGCACATACATGATTTTACTTGTTTGCAGCAAACATCCATCATCACATGTGACATAAAAGAGTTTGAATTTTCTCTTACGAAAATCGTTTTAGAACTTCCATTACTTAAGATCGTTTTCCCCTCTCATAAAATTAAATTCAGAATTTATTTTTATTAAGGAACAAATATATCATATGCACTTCAATCTGACGCCCGAGAAATCATTCAAGAAAATTGTATTCATAAATGCATAATTTTTTTTTTTACAAATTTTCTAAGAAAGAAGAAAATCAAAGACAACTAGGCGTCCTTAACAAAAAGAAACAATGCCATCTTTAGATTGTAATCAAACATAGATGTCGAACACAAATACTTGGAACAAAATTAACAGCCAAAAGCAAATTAAGTTCTCCTAGACAATTCCTAGAACAAGTTCATTCATGCACTTAATGCTCGTTCCAAAAGCAAATCAAGAATTTATTTTCTTGGGAAACAAATAATAATCAAGGCCATGAATAATAACAACTAAAGGTGGCTGCAGTGTGCACCTACTGTATATGAAGCTTTGTTGAGTGTAGAGGATTCTAAACATCACTTTCAGAATTCTAATGATGGTGAGAAAGATTCCAAGAAGAAAGGAACACTTGATTTAAATTATTCATTCAGAGATACACAGGAAAATTAAAAGTAACTTGAAACCGATTCATATAAAATAATTCTGAAAATTAGAATCACACGACAAGCTTAAAAGATAAATATTATGTTTACATTTAGCTATGATCAAACAAGTGATGTCTTCTCCAAACAAGCTCGAGAGGAGGCTCAATCAATATTAATTTACTCGGACTACGCCTGCGTGCAATAAATCCACAATAGGTTGAATAGAGATAAGCATAGAGATGGTGATGATCGGTTGATGATTCTTCCCCCACCCCCCCCCCACCCCCCAAAGATGGGGAACTTGATGTTAGAAATTTTGATTTCTAATATTGATTCATATAATTTAAGTAATTGATAATTGTTGTTGTTGTACACACGGTGATGATTAGTGTAGTATTGAAGAGGTAATTATCGGGTGTAAATCCCTCCATCTTATACCGTGAAAATATAAGTTTGAGTGATGTTATGTGTAATTGAAAAGTAGAGGGTCTTTCAGTTATTTTGTGATTTAAAAAACCTAATGGAATCAATTTTTTGAAAGCTCATATAGCAGACAATATTGGAATTGAATAACATTTATTATTTCTTGCTTTTGGGATATTCAACTATCATAATGGAATCATCAAGTTTTCATTTCTTTTACTGTTATTCTTAATAATTATGACATGAGCTTGATTTCGTTGATTTACCCTATCAAGATCCTTATGTGTTAATTGCTTCCGCGTGCAAGATTGATTGATTTTAACATTTGACATCAGAGTCATGTTTGATAGGAATTAAATCACCAATTTAGGTTTCATAAGAAATTTGAGTATTTTTCTTATTAAATGTTTTATAAGAAATTTGAATATTTTCTTATTGAAGATTAATTGAAGTTACAAATTGACAATTGATTATGACATTGATGTTAGATTGATTGTTAATTAATAATGAACAGCGATATGATCTCATTTTGATAGTGAAAGACATTGTGACAAGTAGAGTTAATGACATTACCTGTGGAAAGTGAAATTGCCATGACAAGAGTAGGATCACATTAAATAATTTTGGATCACGATTTAAATCTTTAATATTTTAGTAAATGCGTTAGTCACCAAGTGACCCACCAAAATTCATTAAGGGTGTGTTTGTTTGCCGTAATTGGAATTACAGAATTGGTTTTTCCCGAATTCCCGTGTTTGTTTCACGTAATTCGTTTTCCAAAAAATGTTTTCCCGTGTTTGTTTCACGTAATTCGTTTTCCGGAAAATGTTTTCCCATGTTTGTTTAACGTAATTGGTTTTCCGAAATGTAATTCATTTTCCTAGTAACAGAATTTCCTTTGTGTTTTCTGTAAAATGACTTACGGATTCATTTTCCGTAAGTCATTTTCTGAACTTTTCACTTCAAATAATAAATATTCAAAATAATTTTATTTTATAAATTTAATATTAATAAAATATTTTAATATCATTTTCATCAAAATATTATTTATTTATTAATTAATATTTATAATAATATATAATATTTTAATATTATAAAAATAATCAATTATTTATAATAATATAGATATTATTTTTTTATTTTAAATAATATAATAAAAATTTTATATATTTAATAATGAATATATTTATATTTAAATAATATTTTAATAAAGATTTTTAATATACTAATTAATATTTTTAAAATATAATATACTATTACTTTAATAAATTAATATAATTTATAATATTTTATTTCACTAAAATATACAAAAATTATTTTTTTATTAATAAAATAAAAATAATATTTAATAATAAATAAATTATTTTATTATTTTAAAATAATAATATTAAGTTTTATGATAAATAATATTATTTATTACATTTAATATTTGTAATAAATAATTTTTAAAAACTCTTCAACTAGTGGAAAAGGGTTTAAATAACATATTCCAAACATCATAAAACGTTTTCCAGATGTTTTTCAGAAAAATGTAATTCATTTTACGGAAAACATTTTCCGGAAAATGTTTTCCTGAAATGTAATTCAATTTCCAGAATTCAAATTCCAGTAATTCATTTTTCAGTTCCAGTAATTTAAATTTCAGTAATTTATTTTCCGAAAAACCAATTACAACCAAACAAATAGACCCTAAATAATTTATATTATGTTTATAAATATCCTCATTTACAATCACGGTGGAGTACTCCATGTTCCAAGAGGATGTCCTGAGACCTTGCCGCCTGAAAATTCCACAAGTAATACATGAAGACAAAGATGGTGAACTTTGAAATCGAATTTAAATCTCGGCTAATTACCTTCTTTAGTGGCTTCTTTGCATCTTCTCTGATATTTCGAGGAGAGCCGAGGATCCAAATTTTTCAATAAATTGTCATACCTCTCTTCAGCATCTGTTATGTATTTTGCCTTGACGAAGACGACGAAAAAGAAAATAACCATTTGACATGAGTTAATGTGGGAGCTTATTTTTTAAAAAAATTGATCTTATAGAACTGAAATCATGCTTTGGGTTAAATTGTTATCCCTAATATATATACCCGCACGTTACTATGGACATTTATTATTGATTATAATTTTTTTATTAATTTGGGATGAGTACAAGACAATATCTATTTAAAGATAATTCTCAACATTTTAATGTTAAACGTTCACACTCCTAACATATATTGTGCTCGAACTCGAATTCTCAAAAAATAATAATAATTCCTTCACTGCATCACTGGGTGCGTGCTAGTGATTATGATTTCTAAACACTTATTTGGTCAAATTTAAATGATATAAATGAATTTCAATTTAGTGTAATTATGCGCATGAAACTTTTATTTTGGTTCAATTGTATTTGTACATGTCAAACTTTTATGGGTAAAGCACACCAGAAGTCCCTAAACTATGAACAAGTGATATTTTCCGGTGACATAAAATTTAGATGCAAAGATAATTGATACATACAAAAAGGACTATAATAATAAATTTAATTTCAATTTTTTTGTTATTATTATCTTTTATCTAAATTTGATCCTAAATTTTCAACAACAAAAAAATTAATCCTTGAACATTTTTTTTAGAAAAATAGTTATTTTCTTGAATAGAAATACTGATTAATTCAACTATTAACGCAATTGACATGTCGTTCCAAATTCCAATGGCAGTCCATCTAAACATTATGTATTTTTTTTATAATTCTTTTCAATTTTTTATTAATATTGTTATGCTACTATTTATTGATAACATAAGATAAAAATTATAATATTAACCTGAAGAACATGTGAACTATCACTTTAAAACCTTTTCAAATTTAATGTTATAGATAGTATTTTTTAGGGTAAAGAGCGTCTCTGACTGTATGATATTGTTTTATTAAGTCATTTGATTATTAAAAGTTATAAAATAATCTTTCGACTATAAGGTGTTGTTTTGTTGAGTTCATCGACTATTAAAAGTTACAAGATGATCATCCGACTATCATATTACAGTCATTATTAAACGTTAACTTGTAGACTGTGATATGAGAAAATTTGATCCCAAAATCTCAAATGACTATCATATTACAGTCATTATGTTAACATCTAACTTAACCAACCGACTATTTTTAACAGAAAAGGACGTGTTTGAAACATAATAAATAGTTGGGTGACCATTTTGTAATTTTTAATAGTCAATAGATACAACAAAACAACGCTCAATAGTTAAAAGATCATTTCATAACTTTTTATAGTCGATGAACTTAATAAAGTAGCATCTTATAGTCGGGATCATTTGCTTTCTTTACCGTATTGTTTTGTCAGAATTTTTTAGTGTTAAGGGATAAATTTAATTTAATAGAAAGGGTAAACAATTACAATTAATTTGTCATTTTACCTAAAATAACAAAATATAATGTTTTTGTATATCATTTAAATCTGGATGGATTCCTACTGCTACAGTGTATGAAATTTCAGCTAACATTGAATCTTCTTCGTCACTTTCATCTTCTTTAACCCTTCCTTTTTTATTCTATGGGAACTTTTAAAATCAAACAAGTGGTGACGTATGTATGCAATTCACTTCTTTTTTGTTTTTAATTTGTTTTCTTACCGTTTTCATGTTCATAGGACATTTCAAACTCCTTTGTTGCCTAAATCGCAAAACATCTTCTTCAACTCCATGATGGTTTCACAAGCAGCCGCTTCATTGATCTTGAGGGTCTCGTTCTCTTGTGAAAGGAAATCCAAAGCTTCATCCTTTTTGGCTATGGCGTCCTTGAGCTGCGAGTTCTCGGCTCGAGCTATGTTAGCCGCTTCTTTGGCGACGTTGGCTTCGTTTATGGCCTGTTTCATGATGTCCCGAAGCTTCTGATTCTCTTCCTTGGCCTTCTTGTTCATGTTTTCAGCCTCTTGAATCGATTCGAGCAGCGATTGGCATTCTTCTTTTGCTGCGTTTCGTTCTTCTTCGGCTTTTCGAATGCATTCGACGAATCCGATCTCTCTCGTGTTCCATGCCAGGAGGGATTCCTCGGCTTCGATTCGCAATCGTTCCGATGTGTTCTTGTATCGTTCCGCTTCTTTCTTTGCTTCGTTGTACTTCCCTTCCAGCATCCTCAGCTTCGCCTTGAGGTTTTCGACGAATCCTTTCGTTTTCTCGAGCTCGATCTGCGTCGAAGAGAGTTTGTCCTTGGCTTCGTTTGCTTCTGTGATCACTTCTTTCAATGCCAAGGCTAAATCGTCCATGGCCTTCTTGTTGTTGTCTTCGGCATCGGTGATGGATTTCAATTCATCTTTCAGATGTCGAACTTCCTCGGCTAGATCCTTGGCTTTCAATGAAGAAGCTTGCTCGTTCTCTTCGGCACGAGACAATTTCTCCTTGGTGATTCGAAGCTCCGATTCGAGTCTCGTCAATCGGTCATCCGATGACGACGGATTGCCCCGATTCTGCAGGATTTCAAGAAGAGGCTTGATTTTGTTCTTGGATTCCTCGAGTTGAATCTTGGCTTGCTCGAACTCTTTCGATCGAGCCATGAATGCATCATTTATCTTCTTCTCGGATTCTCTTCTTTCCTCGATTTGTTCAAGAAGTTGCTTGATTCTCTCTTGATCATCAGACAGAACATCAATCGTGTCGGACTTGAAGGATCTCACCTTGTTCAATTCATCTTTCAGCTTATGAAACGAAGCTTCTTGTTCCGATAATTTCGCCTCCAATTCCTCGGCCTTTTGGAGCTCAATTTTCAAGTATTCAATGTCATTTTCCTTGTTCCTCGATTTGTCAATCGACGCAACTAAAGAGTCCTCCGTTGACGCCATTGCAGCAGGCGATTCCTCCTTCATTCCTGCTGTTCGTCTCTGAACATCATGTCGGATAATTAAAATGGAACCATAAAAATAAAAGAAAAGAAAAGAAAAGAAAATTCAGGATATTGTAATAATTCAGACAAAAAAGAAATTAAAAAAATCAAAACAAAAGGGACATTGATATACCTTGATAGGACTGGAAATGCAGAGAATTGTGTAATAGATTGAGGAAATGAAGCAGGGGGGGTTTTTATTCCTGAAAGAAATTCAACGAGGAATGTTGCTAAAAATAAACATTTTCTAATAATACATAAACAACAAGGATTGAAAACAGACATTTCTTAACAAGAAAAGTCCAATTCCAGGAAATTTAGGGGGACCGAATCTAATTATTGTGTGTTTTTTATTTTGAGTTCAACTCATATTAGTAATTTTTTTAGACCTTGTTTTTAGTGAAAAAAGGTAAATTGAAATACCCATTTGGATAAAAAAAAATTAAATATCAATTTGAATTATGAAACTAAATTTAGACACCAAATAATATATTAACCCTTTATATTCATATGAAATTTGATGTATTGATATTCATATTACATAATTTTTAAACATTCGTGAATGTGTGACGTGATCTCATTATATGTCTTCTTTTAATTATTGTTTTTATGTTGCGTGTAATATTGTTGGATTTATAAGAATTTTCAAAGTTTTTTTGGGGAAATGTGAAAAAGGAAGAAATCTAAGGAAATTGGCAAGTATTTAATCAAAATCAAAGCTAAGAAATGAAATATGGGTAAAATATAAAAATTATCCCTTACTATAGGATATTACTTTTTTGAGTCCTCCAACTATTAAAAGTTATAAAACGATCTTCCAATTATAGGGCATTGTCTTGTTGAGTCACTCGACTATTAAAAGTTACAAAATAGTCACTCGACTATTTGTATGTTCTAAAATCATCATTTTTCATTAAAGAATTAACGGTCGTTTAAGCTGAATGTTAACATACTAACCGATATATGATAGTCATTTGAGATTCTACGAACAGATTTTATCTCATCCCGGTTAATAGGTTAACGTAGCTTAGATTATTGTTAATTTTTTAACGAAAAAGGACGAGTTTGGAACATATGACTAGTTAAGTGATTATTTTATAACTTTTAATAGTCGGATGACTTAACAAAGCAATGCCCTAGAGTCAAGGGACCAAAGCACTTTATCCATAAAATATTAAAAAGGGTAAAGCACAAATTTGGTAACTTAACTTACAAATTTTGTAACTGAACTTTACTTTATTTCATAGTCCACCCATTATACTTTAAATCTTTTTAATTTCCTCACTGAATTTAATACATTGGGTTTTTTGGTCACTCAACCGTTTTCACTAACGACGTTATGACATGAATTTCTTTATTTTTAATGGGTAAATTAAAAAGTTAATCACTGAACTTTACTCTCTCTCTCCTATTTCACTCATTGTACTTTTAAAATTTTTAATTTAATACCTGAACTCTATGCATTGGATTTTTTTCGATCACTCCTCTATTAACAAAAAAAGCCACGTTATAACGTCATTAGTGAGGAAATGGCCGAGTGACTAAAAAAATCCGATGTATTAAGTTTAGTGAGAAAAATAAAATGATTTAAAATACAATGAGTAGAATAAGAGAGAGAGTAAAGTTCAGTTACTAAATTTATACTTTACCCATAAAATATTTAAAAATCTTTGTTGCAATCAAAGGAAGAGAACAAGCTTTTGGCGGCTGATTTGGGCTTACTTTTGTCTTAGCGGCTGAGTATTGAGATGGCCAACGATTATTCCAACTTCTAAATATTATACAATCCAATGAACAATTGCGACGGCCGCCGACCGTCCACTTTGGATTGGGTTTGTTTAATATTGTATTTAGGCTGTTAGTTATGCCTAAACGTAGCATTAAACAAGTAGCAACGCACAGCATACTTTTTTTTCATTGTCTCCCCAATTTTCAATAGCTTTTACTCTAATTAATTCGAATTTATTCACATCGTACACCTAATTTTGTTAGATGAATATTTCAGAGAAAATTTTTCACATATATAAGAACTCGAACTCGAGACGACCTACCATTAACATCAATAGAAACATCTAGACCAAACAAATAATTCAATGCACTTACAAAATTAAGTTTCTTAATTTACAACGTATCATTAACATTTTATACTCTACCATACATATCTTAACAAATATTGTCTGTTAAATTTTCTAATGATAAAATACCTATAAAATCCTTGTCTTGAACTTTCATAATGACCACGGACACAATATCCGGTCATTTTCTATCCATGAAGAATGTAAGTCAGTGAAATAAAACGTATCAAAGTAGGAATCCAAACAATTCTCTCATTTCTTCTGTCCATTTCATTTGTCTTGGTTTTTCTTAAGAGTATAATAAGAAGTACTTTTATACGAGGGTTCATTGGTAACTCATACAATACAAAATATGGTATGATTTGTATAAACTATTAACATGATTATTAAAATAAGAAAAAATCTCACAAAGTTATCGTTCGATCATATTGTCTTCAACACCGTATAAATCAAAATATAGATAGACTCAAGCATCAATTATGTTACCGTTTTTACTTCTCTCTCCCTTCTCCTTCTTCAATCACTATCAATGTTTTTAAAACCTGACCGAACATTGAACCGGTGAAGGTAACCGGATTTTATATAAAATAATTTTTTTTAATTTACATAATATTCAAAGCAATATTAATATATATGTAACACTTTTTTTAAGTTTACAATATTAAAAGTTATAAAAATATCACAAGTCATAACATATATAAATTAAAAACCATAAAATCAAGTGAAACAAAATGATTCAAATCAACTACAACATAATATTTAAGGTAAAACATATTAAATAATAAATATAATTATATAACTATAATAAAAAAATAAATTTGGGGCTTAAAAAATCATAACAAATGATGTCATTTGGTTTAATTTTTTTTAAAAACAATCCCACATGGCTAAGAAACATAGAAGAGCATCCCAAAAGTTTAAAGAGTAAAAATATGAGAACAAAATAATCCCACATGACTAAGAAACATAGAAAAATATGAGAACAAAATAATCCCACATGACTAAGAAACATAGAAGAGCATCCCAACTTACTTCTATAAATAATAGAGGTAATTTGACATTCAAAATCATGGAGCCTTTTGGTGAGCACAGAGCGAACTATTCTTTCGCTTCAATTGAGCCCAAATTTTAGGCTTCAATCGAACTTCTATTTTTTTTTGAGTTCGAGCCTTTTTGAGTTCAAGTTTTAATATTATATTTCGAGTTGAACTTGATAATTTTTAGCTCGTGAGTTTTTGAGTCGAGTTGAACTTACTTTTAAAGTTTTTGAGTTCGAGTCGAGCTCAAGAATACTCAAAATTTGACTCGGCTCGTTGAACAAATGATGTCGTTTGGTTTAATTTTTTTTAAAAGAAAAAAAGTGAATCAGTGGTTCAAACTGGTTTTGCTGGTTTTTAGCCGGTTCACCTCGGTCTTAGCGATTTTCAGCCAATTCTACCGGTTTTCTGCCAGTTCATTGCCAGTCCGATTTTGTGAGGTAACCGGACCGGATCGGACAGGCCACCGGTTCACGGTTCAACCAGTTGAACCGGCCAGTCCGGTCCGGTTTTGATAACCATGATCACTATACTTTACTTTCCCTTTTTTTTAGATTACAATGATGTTAGGTTTAGAGATTTATATCATAAAAGAGCGATTACAATGATGTTAGGTTTAAAATTTGGTGGTATCTAATGTAGTTTACCCTAAAAATATATATTTTCAACAAATCCTTTAAATTCTCAATGTTTAAAAAATACCTTAAATTTATAAATTCCCATAAAATCCCTAAACTCTTAATACCAAATTTCTGTAAAAAAAAGACTTAAACAAAACGAATCAATAAATAACACTTAACAATCATGCAATGGCAACCATAACAAAAGCATCACTAATATTCACTAACATACAATTATATGGACAATTTATAATTCTGATTGTCGGAGGTCTTTCACGGAAGTTGCTCTCAACCTAGCGTTGGGGGCAGCCTACTACCTTACCTCCCCTTACCCCATTACATATGGGAATAAGGTCAGCTAATTTATACAATTATACATATGCATGAATGATTCAAATGTTTGTGACAATAAAAAAGGAGTAGATAATAAAACCCTCAATGTTAATTGGTTACGAGGTCGACGCATTGTCATTCTCCATTGCCACACTAATATTTCTCATCGACCCAACATTAAAACTTTGGGTAGAAACTCGGTTTTATTAATATACAGTGATTATAAAGGTAATATTATTTAGAATATTTTTAGAATATTGAAAATATACACACCTTACAGACGTAGTTGTTTAAATCCGAATCATATAGGGAGAATAACACTTCCTTTTATCCCTGAAGTCGATTCAATTTTGTCTTAATTTTCATACAAGTTGTATATATAACATATATTTGATATTTTTGGGTAAACTGACTAAATGATCATTAAATTATGTTTGAAATAATTTTTTATCATTGGAGTTTTAGAAGTTATAAAATGGTTTTCAAACTTATCGAATCATTACAAAAGGATCACAGGTTATAAAATAGTAATAAATATTTTGATAAGTTTAAGGGTTATTTTATAACATTTTAATTAGTTTAATGGTCATTTTTAATAGTTTGATAAAGTTTAATAAATGTTTTATAACCGTTTGAAAATTGAATTATCCTTTAGTAACTTTTGAAACTTCAGTGATTAAGAAAAGAGAAAATAACATCAGTGACCGAAAATGCCTTATAATATACGATTTTAACCAACTTTTTTTGGATTTGCCAAAATGACCAACAAATTCGCAACGCGAATTCAAATTTCACAACCCATGTTCCAAATTCGCAATGCAAAAGTCAAATTCGCAACGACCACGACGGGACGGGACGGGACGACGGCGGCGGTGCGCGATAGTCCCCCTTGTTCTCTTTCACTCAACAAGAAAGTGGGAAATCCAAGCCTTAAATATCCATTCCCAATAGTGTTTCCAATACTATGTGAGATTGAGTATTACCAACACTTGTTTCCAATGCTAAGTTGAAACATTTAACATTTAACAATTGGAAGTTGGAACACATTTAACCAAGTGAACATCCTTTCGGGGGCCAAGATAATTAAGTGATATTTGTAATTGAGTTGGGAAAACTTGGTTTGTTTTGCAATATTTAAGTGATATTTGTTTTTAACATAAGATCATATTCCATTATTACGCGCCAGGATGTACACAACACATTGGGGTTAATCAAATGTCTTTTGTGTTGGCTACATGGTGTGATGGAGACATCGTAGGGGGAACACGACGAAGTGCTTACTCTTGCTTCACATCATCTCTTTTATCTTCTCTTAATCCAACTTTCGTTAAGTACATTGCCTTCTCAAACATTGATTAAATGTGTTCCAACTTAATTATCTTGGCCACCGAAAGGATGTTCACTTGGTTAAATGTATTCCAACTTCCAAATGTTAAATGTTAAATGTTTCAACTTAGCATTGGAAACAAGTGTTGGTAATACTCAATCTCATATAGTATTGGAAACACTATTGGGAATGGGTATTTAAGGCTTGGATTTCTAACTTCCTTGTTGAGTGAAAGAGAACAAGGGGGACTCTCGCGCACCGCCTTCGCCGTCCGTCCCGTCCTGTCGTGATCGTGGTAATAATTCGATAAGTTTAAGAACAAAGAGTTTATCAAACCAAGCAATAATCCTATATAGAAAATTATATTAAACAAAGTTTTCTTAAATTTTGACCAATGAGAAAACAGGGAAGACTTCAGAAAACATGACACGATATTTGCTCACCAGTTGAAGTCAAGTATTCAAATTGCACAGTGTTAACTCTTAAACACATTGTCATTCAAAATTTAAGTTGACATGATCTAGAAAAATTTACATAACTGTCACGTCAATATTTTTGTTATTTTATAAAAATTATTAACTTGATTTATATCATTTAAATAATAAAATAATCTCAATGATAAAAGAAAATGATTTTCTCCCTAGAGGTCAGATTTAAGTAACTACGTCAGCAGAGTGTGTATGCATATCAAACATAGATTTTAAACATATACTATTACTTTATAACCCACCAAGCTAATAAAAAATAGGGTAAACTACACATTTATAGTATCAGTTTTGGTTTGTTTTAGTACCTAAACTTTCATTTTTTTTAAATAATATCTAATGTTTAGTTCATTTTAGTACCCCACTGTTAAAAACTTCATGTTTTTTTTTACCTAAACTATAAGTTTTGGTATGTTTTCGTTCCTTTCAATTTTTTTTCAAAATTTAACGTTAAATTTTGAACATGGGTACTAAAATAAAATAAAAACTAAACATTAGGTATGATTTTAAGAAATTGAAAGTTTAGGTACTAAAATGGATCAAAACTGATAGTTTAGGTACTAAACTCATAATTTACCCTAAAATAATATTAAAATGACCGATTGACAAAAATTTTAGTTCATTGATCAGAATAGAACCCCACTATACTTTAGTGACTATCAAAGTAGTTTAGCCACTATATATATATCAATTACTTTTGAAACATTCAGGAGTGTGGTAGAGAAGCTAGGCGAAAAAGCCTCCTTTCCTTTAATTGGTACTACGTGAACAAACTTGAAACCACCTTCTTCAAACTACAAAGCACAAGATCAAATGCAAATACCACTTTCTTTATTTACTTTCTTTCCAAAATTTAAGCAATGAACAAATCAAGAAGATGCTTCACATCGTTGTTTATCCTCCTCCTCTCGCATCGAATCGTGCCGGTGATCGGCCAAAGCGAGCAGCAGAAGACGGCCACTAACGAAGACAAACCGTCTCCCTTCCAGTTCGTATTGAACACCATGTCTTTGTTGAAGAAAGCACATAAAAATTCCGTCGAGAGAATCAAAACCACCGTCCATGATTTCCGGTTGCAGTTTACTTCACCCAAGCCAGGGTATGATTCCCTGATGTGTGTTTTTCTCCTCCCTTTTCGTTATTACGCATGCACATTAACATGTTCTGTTCCTCACAGCGAAGAAACAGCAATGAAAAACGTCGAATCTAAGAAAGGAAGTGTCGAAGAAACTACGAAACCTGCAGCAGAAACTGAGCCAAGGACAGCACAACCTGCAGCAGAAACCGAGCAGAAGACGGCGGAGAAGGTTGAAGAGGCTTCCTCGGATAAAAAAGAATCTCGTGATGAGCTTTGAACAAAACCCATAAATCGTATCAGTAGAGCTATTTATTTGCTTCATGTTTGTACGTCGGCTTTTTTTTTGTTATACATTTATCGTCTTTTTTAGTCTTACGTTTATGGGTGAAGAACCTTACAGTATTTTAATGTTCGAAATAAATGATTTCACATCCATTTTCAATCAAGTTTCCTCATACATATAACAGAAATCCTGTAGCTACCTATAGAAAATGACATCCAACAGATCAAGAAACCGAATCCAAGCATCGTCGATCTCCAGCTATTTCTAGTCGGACATCGAGGAAACAAAAAGGCTTGTTTAACTTGCTTAAAAGACCAATGTGCTAAGCATAACTTTATATTTTCCATCATGCATGAAAACACAGATTGACAATGCCGTGAACCACAAGAAATTCAGATACTTGAATATGCTCAAACAATTAGCTTACAATAAGATTAGATGAGTTGAGAAACCAAATAGTGAAATTCAGCTTTGAAACGGTTCGGTTTTTGTCATCCCTAACCATCTATGGAAGATGTGACAAACATCGAACATCGAAGAGGCAGGCAGCAAAACATAGAAAACAAGGTTAAACAACATTTAATCATCAATTGCAAAGAAAAAATCTATTCTAACAATCATCCAAAATATTGAATTTAAAATGGACTTCCTAAGGTTCACTACTTTGAGACCAACTACTGAAACTGAGGTAGCAGTCGCCGACTAGCTGTAATTAAAGCGTCATATTCTAAACGTTTTGATGTGCAAAACCTAAGAGGAAAATGTGCTAATGAAGATCAGAAGCAGAGAGTCTAAGGCATTCACTCTGACACCGTCGAAGGCAAATGTCATTCTGATGTTGGTTGACACAAACAGTGCGGGCACAAGCATCGGAGCATACATCGGGCTCAGACACGCCACAGACAGTTACACAAGTGTCGGAAATTGGATCTTTCGAAAAAGCCCCAACCTTTTTCAGCATTCTCTTTGAAGTGCAGACTCTCTCACAAACAAAATTTTCGTTGGAACTCTTCTTCCTTTCCCTGGCAGTCTTACTTCTCTGTTCTTCAGCATGCCTTTTCTTCATTCTAAAAGCTTGTCCCGCTATAACTGCAGGGATAGCAGCCCCAAGAACCGACCACCATACTTCCACCATCACAAATTGCAGCAAGTAAGCCCTTTCTTCTTGGCCTATGTCCTCCTCTGCAATCAAAGAGGAAAACACAGCACCATGAACTTTACTTTTAAGTTAAATTTAGAGGCATTCAACTTTACTTTTAACACAGGTAAAAATTCCGGTGCAACGCCAATGAAATCTATGACTTGCAAAGGTAAACAAATGACAAATACTTTCAATCTGCAGTTAGAAAGCCGAATTTTACATGGCCTACCAGTTAAAGTTACAGTATATCTATCATTCAATACTTTAAAAGATTGCATACAGCATGGCATTACCATAACAACCAACTCAATGCGGCGCTAATGGCTTTAGAACATATGGATTTAACATCACAACATCAACCATTTTCTCTTGATACTTATAACATAAGCAAGCCACTCATCTATTATAGCAAGATTTAAAACTAAAACGAAAGTATATCCAAACAAAGCAATGTACTGCATTTATTAAAGCCAACAGCAATGGCGGTCCGCTATATAGTGGCACTGGTTCCATCCGACTGTTATTGCATGACCGCAATCACCACAATAGTGCCCGCAACCAACGCAACCGAAATAAATCCCTTAGAAAGTCTAAGAACTCAATTTGTATATATATATATATATTTTTTTTTCTTCTTCTAATGCATAACAACTAAATGGATAGTTCAATTCCTCAAATACTGCAAAGTGAATTCATATATTTCTGAACGAAAAACTACAACTTTCTTAGACAATTGCATCAACGCAATCCCAAATAAAGTATCTTCTTAAATCAAATTAAACTCTTTCAGAGTAAGCAAAAACCCAGAAGCTTTGAACTTTAGAACCCAGTCTATATATTAACACCAATTCAGCAAAACCCATTTCATGAAAAGAACAAAAACATCAGATCACGCAGTAACATTGAAAGCTCACAGAGATTAAAAAAATACGAAACTTTGCATAAACAGAGGAAAAGAACGAACAAAAATGAAATCCAGAAGACGAGTTAAAGATCAAATTGTAAGGAATAGATACCCAATACTGGGGTTTGGGAGAAATGAAAGGACTCACCTTTGGGGCAAAGCTTTTGGGAAAATTCGGCAAAGAGAGCGAACTGTATAGCGTGAGGCAATGTTTGTGTTTGCATAGAAATAGAGCTTTTAACTAACGCTTAATATCAAAATAAGTGTCCAAACTATATTATTTTTCTTAAATACGTACTTAAATTATTTTTTGATCCATCTAAATATTTAAAGTTACAAACGTTATTTTTTGAAGTGATTGGACCATCAACTGCGTTAAAAATCTCTATTAAAGAACATGTGTCACATGCATGTAATTTTAAAAATTTTATTTAAATTAAAAAACAATAAATTATATATATATATTAAAAAACCCATTTTTCTGGAATTACTATTAAAATTTAATTTTCTTTGTTTTGATAATAAAAAAATAAATATTTTTTTATAAATTTAGAGCAATTTTAAAGTAATATCTGTTTTAAAAATTAAATATTTTTAATATATAAATTATGATCCAGTAAAATATTTCTCCCGTTCAAAATATGATGGAAAGTTATTTATGATATTTTTAGGATTTTGAGCGGAAATTCAAAATACACTGATGGAATAAAAGTATATTTTATTATTTTAAATAATTAATTTAATATTTCATTAATAAATCATAAAAAATATTAAACTTGGTAAAAACACATTATTTTCATTATGAGTATGATATAGAACTTAATTTTGAATTATAAATGAAAAAAAAATGGTGTATTATTTTACCATTAAATCGTGACAGGAGAAAGTTAAAGAAAATTTGATAAATTGAAGACTGAGATTTAGAAAACAGAGAAACCTATGGTTAGATTTAATTTGAAACTAAATGAACTAATGAGAGAGATAAAGTAAGAGGATCGAAAATTGAAAATTTTATGAGATTGAGAGAAATTAAAAACCCTCGAATACAAAGGTAGAAAGTAGAGTATGAGAAAAACTTATAATGCCCACATATAACTGGCTTTGCGTGGATGTTGATTTGTTCATATAATCATGAATGATTAAAGGATGTCGGAAGTGTGATCGCATCTTTAAAAATTCTCATATAGCTTAAGTATTTTTATATTTTCTTATTGATTGAAATGCCCTAAACTCAATTGGGCCTAAATTGTCACACTGGGTTGTCGAGGTAACCCCTGATTCTCAAAATCTGATCATTTTTTTTCAAATGTATTGAATGATATCATAATAAAACATAAACAACTGTTATAAAAATATTTTTACAAAACCGGAGCTCCGTGACGCATGATTTAAATCAAAATAATATATCTTGAAGTTTACAACTCAAATGCATAAGTAAGGTTCTATGAATACACATGTCCGCTAAAGCTATAGTACAATACTTTGTCGGAGATGCTAAAAGTCCTGCGGCGACGGTGCTACAAGAACTGCTCAAGCTATGGACCTGTCAACGGAAAACATCCGAAGGTTGAGCTTACAAAGCCCAACAATATAATCGCTAATCTAGAGCAGCATATGGATTTCATAAACACAAGCATGCAGAAGACATAATACTAAGCAGTAGGTACAAGCATGATTCCAATCAGTGCTACCTACGTAAGGTCCTCTAGTTCTATCTCTCGAATCTACGCCTCACGATTCCCTTAGTCTTTGCTAAGGGTCCCGCCATGATTATTCAAGTACTAAGTCTCTAACCTCATTATCATCCTATAATGCATCACCATACCAAACACAATGACGGTACCCGATATCGCAGAGACGTCGGTATTATCACTCAACAATAAGTAAGTATCGTGGTGTAGCTCGCGATCCATAGCATCATGGAACTCACACTTATGTTTACTTAATAGAGGTACCTTGGGTAGACCTAGGTCACACATCATCAGCATCTCCCAATTATCTCAGGTTAGTCCTGGTCACATAGCATCGACACCTCCTAATACCTTAGGCTAGTCCGGGTCACACAACATCGGCACCTTGCCTGGCTAGTCTACCCCTCTTAAGTACTCGGAGCGTGTTTGGGTCATATAGCATTAGTACCACGGTTAACTAGCGACTAAAGTGCATCGTGCACTGACTTGGATATATCTGAATATCATATGCACTTAAGACGATCGTTCTAATACTAAAGTTACTGGGTGTCCTCATTGTTTCCCGAGCAACACATAAGGGCTTACCTCATAAGGCTTTTTTGGTTAACACACAATTAATGTTATTATCTCGTTATTATTATAAGGCTATCATCTAGAGCTACGTCTTAACACATGTTAATCAATGCCACACTATAGCAGCCGAAGTAGCTTGATCACTCGCTACTGAACTTATCGAAGTTAGGTGAGGTCATATCCCCTCCAACCGAGACTATCCTACTTGTCCTCTCGCCTACAATGTTACGGGAGGGGTATTATTACTTATAGGGTATTTTACTCATTTATACCTTCGGAGAGGTCTATAAGCCTTTCACAATTTTTTGGTGATTATGGTGTTTGCAGTACACTGACTGATCCACTAGTTAGCCCAATACCTGACTCGGGCTCGTTATTGGGTAACAACACTCCTAACGCTCTTATCGTACTCTCCCAATACCCCTTGAAGTAGTGGAACAACTTATCCATTTTCGGTTCACTAATGTTCTATAAGCACTACGCTCTTCGTCGATATTGAATATGACATGTTTATCGTACCGCTCATCTGGTATCTCATGTACTGATCCTCAATCCCAACCATCCTTATTATACGTCATCGATTGAAGATACTCTAGTGTATTACGCTTAATATGGTTACACCTAGGGATGTGCATGAGATCTGTACCCGATGAGTTCTGACCCGACCCGACCCGATTGAGTCAAATTTTTTTAAAAAAATTGAGGTCGGGTTGGGTTTTAAATTAATATATTCAGGTTTACGTGTTTAGGGTTAAAAATACCCTACCCTACCCGACCTGAGTACTTAATGTAATATTTTATTTATTTTTTATTTTTTTTAGTTTCCCTTTGTAATCTTATCTCCTCGATCCAAGATTGTATGTGCAGAACAGTATGAAACTCTTACCCTGATACCTCACAAATTCTTACTCATTTCCTCTCAAGATTAAATCTTACAATTTTCAATTCATTCTCAACCATTAAAAAATCTCAATCTTTTTCACACTTTCATCAGTTCTTCTTCTAGAGTCAACACCCGGTAATTGGCAACAAGCCAACCAAAGCTTAAAAGTAGAAGAACTTCAATTTTTATTAAGGTAAGTACTTATTTTCATGATTTTTGGCTTTGTTGATTTTGTATATGTGAAAATATGCTATTTATTGAACATATAAACTACTATAGAGTTCGAAGAACAATTTTTCATCTTATTTTCGTGCTTTTCTTTTGATTTAATATTATAATACTTGTTTAGTTTACTAATTAAAGTTTAAAAGCATGAAACCATCGATTAGTCTACTGTAACTTTTGTTCTTAAACTAACTAATTAGTTCTACCAAAATAATCAAATAGTAAATATTATAAAACAGTAAGTATTTAATTATATTATTTGTGCATTTTTGTTCCCAAAGTATATGTGTTTTAAACATTACAATTCCAAAAAAAAAAATACTCTTGAGAGAGAAAAAAGAGTTATATAAACAGTAGGCTAAAAAAAGAATTAATAAGTTCAACACTTAAACTCCCTTAACAAGTTAAACTTCATGTGATTGTAAATACCGAATTACTTTGTAAATTGAGTGAAGTTTAATTACTCTGTAAGTATAAAAGTCAATGATTATTATCTTTTCATTTAAAAAAGTGAAGTTTAATTAGTTGAACACTTTATGAAACTTTTATAAATCGAACAAGATGAGATAACGGTAAGTAATAATTTTATATTTGTTACTTTTATTATAATCTTATTTTTAAATATTAATTTATAATTTTATTTTATAGGATTTTAGTGGTTAGCTAAGATTGAAAAATGTGAACTTGTGAAGCCGATGATAATGGAGGTTTTTTTTTCATCGGACATCCATATTTATGTCTCGTTTCATTATAATTATGTTTGAACTTTGAACTTATTTAAGTATAGTATGGATTTATAATTTTAATTGTGAATATGTATTTTAATTATGGATTGGAGTCTGGAGATGTATGTTGCATGTTGTTTTTCTTCAGGGGATTGTTTCCTGAATTGAATTATAGTTCATTCTTTTGCATTTTTAGCCTTTGAATTGAACTTATTTAAGCTTAATTTTTGTTGCATATTTTGTTTGTGTTGCATGCTGCTTTTATTATAATCTGTTTATTTATGTTTTTATTAATTAATTTTACAATTTTACTTTACTTTTTCTAGTTATTTGTAAAAGAGTTCGATTTTTTATTATAATTTATTTGATTTCTTGTTTTTCATTTTTAATTTTTTTTAAATGAAAAATTAAATCGAGTCAGGTCGATTTTTAAGTTATATATCGGGTCGGATTCGGATCGGGTGAAATCTTGTTTCATGTGGGTCGGGTCGAATTTCTTGTGGAGGAGTCATTGTTCTCGAGTCAGGTGGATCAAAAATCCGACCCTACCCGACCCATGCTCATCCCTAGTTACACCTAGTGTAACCTACTCCTATGAGTGTTTTTAGGTATGTTGGGTCATTTATGTCCCTCACGGACTAAGTCTTACTATTACAAATCATCCTTAGATCTTATGGACATTAAACGAGTCAAAAGAACATTCAACAACACTTAGGACCTTTAATGAATGCAAATCCATCCTTTTTCATCGAGCAAAACAAAGAAGGGATCGATCCCTTTGAAAAGGGATCGATCCTTTACTGGACAAAAACTTTGGGATTGATTCCTTTGGCCTAGAGATCAATACTTTTTTCTAGGAATGACTTGCTTAAGCTCAGGAATCGCTAAAAATCACTCCAAACGACATGGGTTGGTTTCTAAACCTATTCTAAAGTTTTAGTAAGTTATACAAGGTCATTAGACATCATTAAAATATGCTATTAACACCTAAAACGTGATTTGGTTGAGAAATTAAAGATGAACCCTAAAATGCTCAAATCATCAAGTCTTAGCAAAAATCATGGATTTATGAAACCTTAATACTCCAAATGATTAGAAA